CTTTTTTCATTCACTCCTATTACTTCACTACCATGGGGCTAGTAAATGGTATTTTGGTACGGTATAGTAAATGGTAAATGGTATAAATGTAATAGTAAATTGTATAACCTTCGAGTTATAATTTAAGGAATAGGAATGCTCAAAGCAACTTCACACTTTTCAGTATTCGACTTGAGCAGTCATAAAGTCACGGATCACCTGATTGACGTCTTTGGCCCGATGGCGTTTCGCTTCTGGAAGTTCGTGAGCAAACCCCAAAATTGGGAACGCAATCAGAAGAGCACTGATGGACGAGGCTAGGAATCCAATCCACCACGCGCCGATCCAGCGAGGATCTGTCCGAGCTATCGGTGGGCTGAAAAGGTAGCTTAGTACATAACTGTAGCGACTGCGTCTTGCAACAAGCTAAAGAGCACGAGATATGGTAAGATTGTTTCTTTTCTCAATATGAGCTACGACTCTTTCCCTACCAAAATCCATGTGTTGCTTTGGAGGTCAGCAACCAGGCAAGCAAAACTGCGACAGAAGCTGTTTTAGCGAAGAAATGGCTGCTTTCATGGTTCACGATTTGGCCCGCGAGCGACCAGGGGAGGCGCTCGCTCCTTGTTAACAACTGAATCTTATTCAATACCGCCGGACGAGTCCTGCGGTCGCTCGCTCGCTCGCACGCTCGCGGGCCAAATCATGGACTATGGAGGCAGTCAATGGCTCGCTTAGTGACTGAAAAGATAAAGGAGATTTTTAGCTTGCAAGAAACTGGTCAAAGAGGTGGAGGGGCGAATAGGGAAGGATTTAGCCAGTAACTAGGATAAGTTGTACAAATCCGCTAGGATTTGTACAACTTATCTTAGTTATGGCTAAATCCTTCCCTATCTTAGTTATGGTTAGGGCAGCTCATTTTTCGCAAACTTTGCTCTTGGTACGCCTCTACCGCAGTACTCCATGACTTTAGCCATGGAGTCACTTACCAGTTTACAAACATTCAAGGACACATTCGCTTATTTGAGACGTGCATCCGATTCGTCCTCCCCGTCAACACGGCCTCGATTAGAACTGGAACTTCCAGCAGTGCTTGCATTTGTACGACAAAGAATTCGCGTATCGAGAGGATGATGTTTTTGATATTGCTGACGAAAAGCAGTGCAATAGCGCATGATAAAAGGGCAATATGCGAAATAAAACTCACTGATCGACTCTGTCGAAATCGTCGTAGATGTTAAGCAGATAGCCACCCACAAAGACACCAATTACTGGTCCAAATGATGTGAGTACGGCATGAGCCGCTGAAAATTCCAAGGAAATATATCACTCGTTATATTATAAAGGTATAGATAATAATATTAGGTTGATGAATAATTATTGCGGATTTTTTCGTGGCTTCGTTTCTATCGATAAATAAACTTTTGAATTCGGGATTTTTGTAGGAAAAATGTTTCTGCTTTCCTCAACAGGAATATGTTTAGGAAGTCATCATCATATACGCC